ACACCATACACGTCTAACTCGAGTAGGCCTCCAATCATTTCGACATGGATCATCTACGTTGGTGATCTACAGGTGCTTCTACGGTGTATACATTGCTAAAGTAGTTTGAGAACACTTGAGCCTTACCAAAGTCGTCCTCCACTAATGATGAAGCAGTACTGTCTCCCCATAATGCAGAAATATTTCCTCTTCTCTTTGTCTTTTGGTTTATATAAGAATACAAACGTTTAAGACGTTCTATGGATTCCTTAACAATCTTTTCTTCGTACGACTTTCTAGACTTACGGAGGGTCGAGGCACAGGTATTCTGAAATTTCCATACTGGGATTTAGTATCATCAGTCCCTAGTAACCTAAATGTATCCCACATTTTTCTTCTCTTACGGAGAAGGATGCGGACCCCCCTACTGAACCATGGTGGGGAGTTTCTCGGCCCCCTTGGTATAGTCCAAGGGATGTGGGGTGTAGTAACTTTTAGGCATGAATTTCAAAATGCGTCCCAGGCCGTTTCATTCGAGGACTCTGGGTCTGTTGTCCAATCTACTAACGATGCTCAGTGCATGATATCTGGTATGTTTGCTTTCCAGACGTTAGGTCTGGATTGGACTGACACGTGCTCGTGACTGACAGTTATATGGAAGTTGAAAGTTAGAACTGCGTGATCACTTTTACTTGGGGGTGGCATATAATGGAGGTTCTCAACGTCATCCTCATAGTGAGTTAGTATAAGATCTAGTAAGGGTGATTCAGTGTCCGGGTCGTACCTTGTCACTTCTTGCACATGTTGCACTAGGGCACATCTGATAACCGCACCAACTAGTTCCTGCTCGAAGGAATTTTCTGACGATTCAGTCCGCAGATTTACCATCGGTACTCTAGTCGAATACTTTAACTGAAATGAATCCAATTAAAGTGAAAACAGTAGTCTTGATACGTATTAAACGATCAAAACGATGAAATTTACTCAGCGAGGAAAAATACCACTGTCCTTTTTAAAAATTTGCTACCCTAATTGAATTATTTAGGTTTACACTATCAGTTTCCAGACTAGAGATTGAAGAACTCAATTAAATTATCATTTTGATAATGACCGTGCAACATTCGATCCCACTTATATTAATTATCCAAACTCTGAGTTATGATTAATAATTAGTCTGTGGAAAACACATTTCATGCCTAGTAGAGTAACTTAGATTCAGATTTAAACTTGCTTGACGGTTATTCTGCAGTTATCTTATATGACTGTCCAACCGTCTCGTTTCAAAACCCATGAATCCATAGTCCGTTTGGCTTAGGTCGATTAGAGATGTGCCATTTTCTAAGATTCATAAGAAACTAAGACTCCAAAATTTCTGGAAATCAGAAAGAACGGTACTGACCTTTCCCCAGGGTCATAGTTCTCGATATTTTCGTACCGGCTGTGCATGGTGATAAAATTACCCTAACTGTTGGCCATTAACCTGGTTGTCAGAAACGTATGTCACTGTTCAAAATTTTGATTACTCATTATTTGTGTTAATTGAATTAGTTTATGCACTGTGAACTTTCTTTGAACGACAGATTCTCGATTTTCTCTTTGATAAGTAGCCGGTTTCATGTTTACTAACAGTTTATCCACTTGATACTCTGAGGTTTGACCAATGAACCTATCAGGTGTAGAATGTTGTTCTTCGTTATGCAGGAAAACATTTGTTTTTTATCACTAGATTGTATTGATTCTAAAAGCAAAGTTGGAAAATATTATTTTCTATCCCGAAACCATTCAGGCACTTATGTGATTTATCAAATATATACTTAAGTTAATATTTATGTAGTATCACTCCTGTATGCAAACTGGCGTTTTTAGATTTCCCAGTGTCTAGTTGGTGCTTCATGGATTGTATATCAAAGTTATACAGAACATTTTAGGAACCTAAGAGTAATGGGCGTGACATGTCCTAAGACTCATACACCTCCATTGCAAACCTGCAATGCATTAAATGTATCAAAAGTACGTTCTGGTCTCATTAGCAACCTAGCAGAAGTTTCCAGGATGCTATGATAAAAACAGCTGAATTTTTACAGCACTTATAAGCATGTAAACGCAAGGTTGGTTCAGAATGTCCTACTAGTGAAAACCTCCCAAACTTCTATCGCTTTGATAATTACAAGAGGTAAATAATAGATATTTGTTCGATTTCTAGTTTCCATGTGAACAAGTTACTCATCGGCACCTGTGGAATACATTTTCATACCAGATGTTCTTTAAAAGTTTTACCGGCATCTTAAGGCAAATACTGTAAGGCTATCCCTTCATCCTCATGCTTTTAAATGCGGATCGAAAACTCGATGTTTAGCAAACATTGTGTATCGACGAACAATACATATTTGGTTTTCGTTTACAAACTGGAACATTCCACTGACACCGACGTAGGTACTTCACTTGTCAGCTGAAGTTGAGTACATCTGTTCTCAGTTACATCCAGAACACTCTAGGGCAAGAATGTTCTCTCGTGAATAAAATAAACATAAAACTTGAAACGAAACTTGATAAAGGTAAAACCCTAGTGTCAGTTCTTGTAGTAAACGTCTGCCGTGGTCAGATGAAAATGCCACGGCTTTTACAAATATTCAGCCTATTGCCACATTCAGATAATGGACGCATTTTGAAGCGGTAATACAAATTCAAAAATCTGGGCAACTGTTATTCGTCTATCGATCCATATACAGAACGCCAAAATCTTGAATAGTGAATTAGCTATATTTTATGCACATATCGGGAATTTACCAAACGCCGTTCTCTGCTACCGTAAAACTCATTACTAACCTTCTATATTGGGGTTTTCTGGAGTCTTGAAGCACAGTTAGGACTCGAGTAGCGAGGTAAGGACCGGAAGTTTGAGGTCAATAAATAACCTCTTCCGAAAACTGATATGACAGAATTGTCAGAACGTAATTGGTTGGTTTGGCCACAACGGTCTACGATAACGAAGGTGTTCCAAAATTCGTCTTTTGCAGATAGATTAAAAACAGATTTATTTTGCTTCCTAATGTGCTACTCCACAATGAAAAATGCGAGTCAAAAACAACTATTTGTAGAAGTATGGCAATCCAACCATCTAATCCGAGTAAAGAGAGTTTTCCATGTTTGCAGAGCAGTGTTAGATTAGATAATCATTGATACATAATGAAGAGAGAGGGGTTAACGCGAGTCAAGTTTTAAGTTGTACCCCGAGAAAAGTTTCGTGATGTAATATAATTTTATAGATAAATCACTCGAACATTTTGGTGAACCTAGGTCATAATCTTTTGCTTTTGTTGCGTACTCCGAATAAATGTATTTAACTTATCTGATCCATTTTTTCATGAACAATAACGGAAGGTGCTCTATGTTGAAAAGAACAAGAAACTTGACGAGCGATTCGCGCTCTCAGCTCGAGTGCAAGTGACCTGGGATATAGGCGTTAGACTGTTCATTCATTATTACAAATACTTTGAGCAAAGGTAAATAGGCAGGTAACTAATAGAAAATGTTTTGAAACAGTGTGACCATCTGATTGTGCTACTGACATTCACGATTCTTACGTGTGACATAAATGTGCTAGATGATAAGTAGCCTTAAAGTATTCCGGAGTAGTTGTGTAATTATGGTCTGCTTCGTCATTGGTACTGCTCTAATAGTAGACCTAATCCTAAAACTGTAGATTTGTCATGATGTAACTAGCTAATCTATAAGATCTTACATAGAAGCCACATCGTTGTCTACACTGACTCATCGTATCCCGACAATCACAAACATATGATGGAAAACACATTTAAGCTGGAGATAGAACAATATATTTAGTACTCAAGAGTGACCACGCCTGCAAGGCTGAACCATGCCATCCCATTCAACCAAATTGACGTTCCAGCGTTTTCCATAGTTAACCTTCTCTTCGTATCAATTCTTCAATGCCAGTCTTTTCAGTAATCATATTCTCGGCTTCAAATGTTAGGTTGTTAGGGTCCAGTTTCACTACAATACAAAGTTCTAAAAGAATCAAGCTTTAGGATGAATATACTAGTTGGTGTTTAACAAGACTGTGTGGGCTTTGTTAAGCCTTAATTAACTGAAACATATTCTCCGACCGTAGAATGTTAGTTCAAACAAATTTGCAATGAGCATCTGACGGATATTCAGGGTTTAACAGAGTTGTTGTCTATAACAACTTTGGGACCGAAATATTCCAAACTCAGTCCAATCAAAATCAAGGAATGAGGACGTTCGAAAATATATTTGAAAGTGTCATAATTAGGAGTATTTTAATTATAAAACAAGCTAAGAATCCCAGAAATAATGCAATCGGGTCAAGAAGTACTAGATAAACACGAACGAATGCACTGTATTTTGAATTTGAAATCAAGCATCCAACAAGTACAAAGAAATCTTTAGCTCATACAAACGCCAAAGGAAGGCATTCGATATGTCGAGTAGTGCGTAATCCAAGCCGTTTAGTTGTTGCGAGGGATGGGTAGCACGGCGTACTCAAAGGAGACTTGGTGTGGATGAATGACCAAGCTCATTCAGCTAAGGTGTGTCCAGTAAAACTAATGAGGTCAGCATCAATGACGGAGACCTATCGAATTTTTTTTCGGGATTTATTTATCGCTACATACGTGCACGAAACCCAACTACAACAACTTCTTGTTTCGACTATCAGATTGTCTGAATTTCACGTTCGTTGATTATTTGAGAAATACATATGGACGATTTCCTTCTTCTTTTTCCACTTTTCTTCCAGATTCTCTCATACAAATTACTACACACACTACAGTAAAATATGTACTTGAAAGCATGTCATATCGACAGTCTTGTCGACTTACACAGAATTCTAAAAAGCTTTTTACTTACTACTGCGTCTCATGAAATATTATCAGCAATGTAAATTCATCGATTTTATAAGAACAAAATAATTAGTAATACCATCTCCAACCTTGGTGGTTATAGTGAACCTAGAGGACACGTTTGATTTTTCCGGCGGCTATTTTGAGTGCTCTTCGAGGTGAGTCCTGATTGGTGTTTTGTCTCTTCACATTGTATGCGTTATGTTAGTAACCGTTTTAAAAGTAATGCGAAATGCACAGCGTCCATTCATCTCGCATTTTCTTTAGAATTTATTTGTAAAATTTGCACTGAAACAGCACTGCGAGTGCATTTTATCTTAATCTTTCCTACCATATAATTGTATTTGTTGAGTAACCCAGCTCCTGGTGTACGCCCGACCCTTACTAAAATTTATTTAAGCATGTGGTATGATCTTATGGATCCTGGTTTGGCTTTTAGAGGGCAAAAACCATGGGCACCCCATTAGGTTGTGTTACCTACCTAGTCTTCACCTAGTATCAGGTAGTTTTTCGATCCAAACAACATGGGGGCTTCCCCTCGTTTTTGCGTTGCCTGGCAAGTTCGTGATTGAGACTGCATGACGCGAACACAAATTCAAGTTTGTAGAAAAGACAGAAGTTTTATGGCGTGTAATTTTTTTCTAGTATGCTCCTGTGAATGTCGTCTTCTTTTGAACTAGTCAATTGAAGGTGTTGAAACCCCTGTTTCAGATATCAGGTTACAAGTGTTGATGACGGTGCGGGAACCTGTATGCCACCGGTATTTTTTTCGTTCTTGGCTTTTGTACTCACCTGCTTTATCCTCTGAAATGTCCCGATCTATTGGGAATAAAAAGAGGATACATTAGGTCCACAATCACTTAGTATTCTATATTCAGATCACCACTCAATCTACGGTAGCACAGGGTAAAGAGGTCTAACTTTTCAAGCCGCTCTTTGTACGGTAAACCCCGAATTTCTGGAATTGCACCGGTGTCTGCCTTTTATGCTTTTTCCTGGATATCGGAGTCACCTTTTAAAACGAGCTTGCAGCCTGAACACAGTTTTCAAGCTTAGTTCTAACTAAGGTTGTGTATACTGCAGTGAACATAGTAGTATCTAACTTGGTGAATGTACATTCTAAACCCGACGCCTCAAGATCATGACTAAGTGTCACTGCAAGATCCCTGTGAGGCCGGGCTATGGGTACAGACACTTCTCTTGTGCTGTATCTATTTACCTTTGTACCCCCAAAGTGTATGCAGACGCACTTTGCCGCGTTGATAGGTATCAGTCACTTTTTTAGACCAGTTAATCACAATATTTAAGTCTGCCTGAAGTGCGTATGCATCTGCGTCTCTTGATATTTGTCGCCAGATTTTTACATCAGCGTGTCGCAACATTGGGTGTTCATTTACATACAATATAAAAAATAAAGGACCTAGGATAGAGCCTTGGGGTACTGCACTAAGTACTGGTTTCCAAGTGGAGCATTGGGAATTTATTCCTACTTTTTGTGTACAACCTACCAGGATGTCCTTAAGTCATTTTAGGAGAGGTCCGGCGATCCCATGATTTTCCAGCTTCAAGAGCAGTCTATTTGTTGGCACCTTACCAAATGCTTTACCGGAGTCTATGTAAAAAAACATCTACTGATTTTCTATTGTCTAGAGCCTCTCTCCATTGCTATAAGGAGATTTGTTGTGCAAGACAAACCTATCCTGAAATCGTATTGTTCGCTGTTTAACAAGTTGTTGGTTTCCAAGAATGTCATTGTGGTCTTTTTGACTATTCTTCCCAGTATTTTAACCACAACACTGGTGAGTCTGGCAGGTCTGTAGTTTAATGAAAGTTGTCTTGATCCTGTTTTATTTATTGAAGTGACAATTGCATTCTTCCAGTTTATAGGTAACTCGCCTTGGCCAAACGACAGTGAACATCACAGTCAGTGGTTTTGCAATATATTGTGCAATTTGTCTTAGGATCTTGGGGTGTAGTTAACCTAGTCCTGTTAGCTTTTCCGTGTCTTAAGTGCAAAGAGCCTTAAATACATCATCCCAACCGAAGTTCACAGTAAACAGACAGTTTCTTGACTTTGTTGTGTCTAGTTTGTCTAGAAGAGGCTGTGGATCTGTTGCCTGGAGAAAGACTTCTGGACCTTGAGTATGCGGATGATATTGTCTTACTGTGCGACAATGCCCAAGGCATGCAATCCGCACTTAATCAGTTGGCAATCAGTGTCCGTAGGTATGGTATGTGCTTTGCACCTTCGAAGTGCAAAGTACTTCTACAAGACTGGCAGGATTCCAATCCTGTACTCACCCTGGATGGTGAGCAGATAAAAGTAGTCGAGAAGTTCGTGTATCTGGGTAGCTGTATGAGTGCTGGTGGGGGATGTGAGTGATGAGACCGATGCACGTATAGTGAGAGCCAGAGCGGCTTATGCCAATCTGGGCCATCTTTGGCGCCTTCGTGATGTTAGTCTGGCTGTAAAAGGTCGGATATACAACGCGTCGGTGAGAGCAGTTTTGCTCTATGCTTGTGAAACCTGGCCTCCGAGTTGAGGACGTTAGACGACTCTCTGTGTTCGATCATCATTGTCTCCGAAGGTTTGCTGACATCCAGTGGCAACACCATGTTAGTAATGCAGAGGTTCGGCATCGTGTGTTCGGGCACAGAGATGATAATGCAATTGGTGTCACCATCTTGAAACACCGACTTCGGTGGCTTGGACATGTTCTACGAATGTCGTCTCAGAGAATTCCACGTCGTGCATTATTTGCCGACTCTGGAACTGGTTGGAAGAAGCGGAGAGATGGTCAGTATATGACATGGTGTCATGGTATGAAGGAAAGCTGCAAAGGGCTGGCTTGTGTTGGTCCTTCACGACTCCCTGGTTGGGGTCCGAGAGATGGTGTTACACAGTGGCTAGAGACGTTATCAGATATGGCTCAGAATTGAAGCCAGTGGCGATCCTGCTGTAACCTTCTTTTACTTTCTTCATAAAAAGTGATTGTGTCCCTCTTTAACTGAAAGATTTCTTCTGATTATACCTTTCTGTTCCGCCATTTTTACCATTATTATTATTACACCACCTTACATCAATCTCTTTTTTTCTCCTTCCCCTTAAATTCTCATTGTTTTGTGTGGCGCATATATATTTGGCGCATTCTTGCACCAATATTTATGTGTTCAAATAAATAAATAAGAAGAGGCTCCTGATAGAAAACTGCATCGAAATAGTTTGCCATAGCCTCTGCTTTTTCCTGATCATCCTCTATCACTTCAGATCCACTCCTTTCCGTAATTAGATTGGGAATCCAATGTTGCGTGTGAGGAGCTTCGTAAGTCATATCTGACGGAATCTCTAATGTGCTGGAATAAAATTGATGCAGTTGTAGTTTCTAACAACTTGCAATCAAATGACGTCGTTGATGACCCTACTTCTTAGTTTATCCAGTTTATATACGGTAAATTAAAGTCGCCTAATATAAGGCTTTTACCCCTATTACACCATGACTTGAGTTCGCTTGGGAGAAAGTCATCTACTACACATTCTGGACCGTGGTATACTACAACTTATTTAATATATTGCTGTTTACATTTGTTATAATCTCTTTCTTACGGTTATGACCCAGCTATTCCTATTGCTTAGTATTCTCGGACACCGATTCCACTCGACAAGTCCCCAAATCAGAACACGGTTGAAGAGGAAAGAGATTATATTCCAAATAACAAGGTTAAATGGAAGCAAGAAGCCAGTAAGAAGCACAATAGGGAAAACGTCAGTATATTTATAGTGTTTACATGAGAAGATTCTAGAGTGTTCTCCAACTATCGACTAGTGCTGATTGGATAAGAATTAGCCAATCAGCGTGCACCAAAGCAATCGTGCATTGAGCTTGCTTTAATCTAGTCTATGTCCCACTAACAACATTTCAGCCTTCAGCGCATCAGTTCACATATCCCTGAATCATATACCACTGTTTCGACAGCTCGTATAGTTAAGGTACTTTTCGTGTACAGGATAACTGTTTAGTTTATCAGCCCTACTGGGTAAAAAATACTAATCAATTTGATTTCACTATTATGCACACTGCCGTTAACCATGTTTCTGAGATAACAATGACATTAGAATTTTCTATGTCTGTCATTGTCTTGAGCTCCGCCACTTTATTTTGTAGGCTGCGAGCATTTTTGTAGCACACCTTTGATTCTGTGGAGAATATTCCCTTACCACCCAGAGTGGTTTGAGTATCGTTTTGCTCCGAACTTTTACAATTTGGAAACTCTTAAGTATAAGGCGGCGGCCCTCATTTATTTCTACTTCTGCCGATCGTCTTTTAATACGATTAACCAGGCTGAGATCTTCACGGCCATATATTCCGGATCCATTCAGTTTTCCAGTATTAAATTTCTTTCTTCAGTCGAAACAAAGGTAGCTTTTAGAAGGCGGATTTTCTGTGTACTTTCAGAATTCACTTTTTGCCCTATTATATGAAGCTTACAGATGCTAACTACTACGATTTCCGGAAGAAGTTTGCTTATTAAGGATTTAGTTTGGCTAAGTCTTTTTCGAATCTAGTTTTTGGTTCTCTCAACGTATGAAAAATGACTGACCTGTCAACGAGGTTGGTTTTAACACGCTATGGAGTTTTGTTTCCTGAAATCATCTGCCTGCAGTCCTATTTGGCGTCAAACGCAAAGGTCTTACTGTTTTCTTAGTTTTTTTTCTGGGTGTAACTAAGTCAATCAATTACTTTATTGTGTCTCTTAATCACATCATCTACACCTCTCAGGCTTTACTCCCCCATAGTCTGTTTTGCGTTGATATATGAACCCGGAACTGAAACTAGATTCACATACTTCAGTGCTGTCCATAATTTGTTTCTTAGAGTGCTTTTTCTTTTGTCTTGTAACCACGCCTACATCTGTGTGCCCATTATCCTCTTTAATGGAGTCCACCTTGATGGTCTCATTCAAATCCAAAGCTGAGCTCATGACAATGCTCTGTTTCCTCGAAAACAAAAATCCGCTCATCTACTGCTGCCTGTTTATCTGAGGGCATTTTTCTAGCTATATTCAGAAGCTCAATCGCTTCAAGAATCAGTAGAGACTTTGTAGAACAGTACGCTCTATACATTCAACATATTAGTGGCTTGCAGCACCTTCTATACGCAGCCGGAGTAAACCCGGTGCACACAGTATGACACGACTTATTGTAGTTGTTATATTGCATTCCATCATCGACCGTGAAATAGCATGCAGGTCTATCACAACGATGTTCTACTTGCGCCATAAAATTGTTTAGTGATCTCACAGAGAGAACAACAACAGGAACTGGTCTCTAAAATAAGTGTCTTTTAAGACTTTATGGGTGATAGGCACTGAACACAAAAAGCAAGTTTGTATGTTACTGTAATTGACAACAATAAAAAAGCATCCGACTTGAATAGACAAAAAATCTTAACATCTTTGGATACAAACAATACTAAAAGATATACTCAGCGAGGGAAAAAAATACCGCTGCCCTTTTGTATCTGTACTCAAAAAGTATAGATGATAAATTACTATATAAAAAACAATACTTTTGGCGATTACTTTATCTGAAATATATTTAATTAAGGCAAAAACAGTAGTCTAGATGCGTAATTAAACGATCCATACTATAAAATATAGTCAGCGAGAAAAAATACCACTGTCCTTTTTAAATAATGCTCGTATATTTAGTTGATTATATTCAATGGATTTTATTTAAATTGAAAACTCTAAAGATAGCTGAAAGTAGGCCATCAATTCTTCCTGTCTTCCACTTCAGGTGCAGTTATAACAACGATTATATTGAATCTTGCGTAAGTTATGTCAGTGATCCATTCACAAATTTGATCTAAATATTTTAAGCACATTGGCTCTCCCTTACCTCGAGACTGACTTGAGGTCTGTTAGAACTCCAGTCGTTATTTATCATCTGAATAACGTTAAGCACTGACTCACTATTTTACATTTTATTTTGCGGATTGTCTACGTAAGTATGATAAACTTTTTGTTTTGTATTAGCAAATGCCCATTTATTTAGTAGGTAAAGCACTTAGCTTACAACCCAGTTCCACTTTGATTTGAGAACCTGGGTGATATCGTCAGCCTCCACAGTGTTTGGATCAAAGCACAGAATTTGACATATACCTAATAATGTCACGATGTTATATCAATCTTCTAAGTCTCCCCACTCAAGTTTGGAAGTAAAAATGAGCTCAAACAAGGTGTCCACTTTTTGGTGGATAAAACTAGTTATCATCTATCGCTGAACCGTCACAAAAAGTAAATATATGCTAACTCTTAATTCACTCCCTAATTGGTTTAATTTCTAAAGCCTAACTTGTTGTACCAAGTGTTCGTTTTTAAATCTTATTTTCTCTGGTGCATTCAAAATTCAGGTGTCTTTCACATAAATGGATTACTCAAGTGATCCACTGACAGATTGTCAGTCTCAAATGTTATCGTTCTGGGATCTCATACGTGTTGAAATAGATGGTCTAAAATGTGACCATGCCGCTTTCAAAACCCAGGACTTACCACTGGCTCGTATTAAAAAGATTATGAAGTTGGATGATGATATCAAATGTATGGTGAGTCTTGATTTTGTGTTGAATGAAGTTGTTTCAGAATAATTTTAAATCAGTTTTTGGTGGGATTTAAGGAATATCAAACGACTGTTAAAAAAAAACTACAAAGAACAAGTTTGGGTGAACAGATGTTATTCGGACTGAAAACGAGGAAATAAAGAAATGTTTCGTAGCCTTATATATTAGCTCTCAGTTGACGATTAATTTCCATAAGTATGGCATGTACTCTACAGCTTCTAAACCTAATTTACTTCTCTATGACTGGCAGGAGTCTGTACCCTTACTCACTTTTGGTAGTGAGCAGTTACATGTAATCGAAAGGTTCGTGTATCTGAGTGGCTTTAGGTGTGCTAGTGGTGAGGTGAGTGATGAGGTCAATTTGCCTGTAGTAAATGTGAGAGCTGCTTATGCCATCTTTGGTGCCTTTGTGATGTCTGTCCGGCTGTTCAAGATCCAGTTTACAACGCTTCAGTGGGGGAAGTTCCGCTCTATGTTTTAAAATTCTGCCCTCTCTGAGTTGAGAAAGTTAAATAACTTTGTGTTCGACCATCGTTATCTAACACATCTACAGAAACCTGGTTTTCTATTAAGCCATTAATTTTAATTAGAGAAAAACTTTTCAGTCTCTTACAAATGAAATATTTGTACATTGATTGTTTATCTTTGTCTATATTATTACTGTTCACATAACATTTCATATTATTAAGTATTTCCCATTTATAAAGTTAAATTTTCTGTTTGTTTGCAAGTAACCTACCTCTACTCTAAATAAATTTAAATTCATCTTGACAATTGACAGTCATCTTGCATGACAAAACTTCATTTGTAAAATGCAAACTACTACTGAGATCTTATAAACTTTCCTCTATAGTGGTTTTTGTATCACAGCTAGCGTAAAATTAAATATTTAAAAATCCATAAAACTAAATACTTTTCTAATTGAAGTGCTCCAGTTAATTAAATATGTGGTATTTTTTTTTATCTTAATCGGAGATTTTTTATGTTAATTCTACTCATAACAGGTCATCTCTATTAGTAAATATCATGTTCAACCTGCATACATTTACTGCAAAATGAGATAAAGTTTTTTGTAACGACCTAGCACTTGGTAAATTATTTCAATATAATTTTAGAAGTATTCATTTTTTTGAGTATTAAGGGTTTTCTGAATATCCTTGTACTTTTTACTTATAAGATGATAAGCGCTGAGGCACCCATATTGTTCGCAAAAGCCGCTGAGCTTTTTATACGAGAACTAACGTTGAGGGCATGGATCCATACAGAACGTAACCGTCGGCGTACTCTTCAAAGAAATGATATAGCAATGGCAGTCAGTGATGGCGACACAGATCAATTTGATTTTCTTATTGATATTGTACCACGTGAAGAAGCAAGAGGACATCGTCGGGTAAGTTTTTACTTGTTATTATATAAGCAGTTATTACATATTATGACTTAAGAAATTCACAATATTTCAGAGCTATAGAATTCGTCGTTTTGTTTTCTAATAATATTTTCAAGTGTTCTGAACATTAATCCTCATAATATTTAACTATGAAATATCATCTCGACGCTTGTATATTTAGCTAGTGGCCGGGTTTGGAAAAATGTAGATTATTTCAACCGTTTTTTAATATACACTCACATTATGTTAACGATTGTAAGTAAGTTAAAACCACAAATCGTCTGGTTGTAGTTAATTGAACCAGTAAAATTACATAGCATAATTCTTTGAGGAAATACTGAGATCTTTATACAAAATATAAAAGGTGAAATTCATGCCCTTCGATGCGAATATCTCCCAGTTATCTGGATGTTAAGTTTGAATTCGGCTGGTAACTCTCAAGGACAGGATCATATCTTCAAACCTCACTTAATCTACTCAAGTCTGAGTGACCGTACTGTATTAGTAGCTTGCATACGAGCTTAGATAATCCCTTTGTTTTTTAGACTGACATTGTTTACTGAGTAATTTATTATCAAGTTTAGGTGTCTCATTCAAGCTATTCACAGCTAATACATAGTAAAAACAAATTATATAATTTTTAGCAACATCTCTTTGTTTTCTATCTCTGTTTAAAAGTTAATGTACTATAAATGTACTTCTACTACGGCGAGTATTCTGTGTTTTGAATCATCAGTGTTTGTAGCACATATGTTTATCCACTTACTTTAAACCATTTAAACTCTACCCATGGAGTTGAAGTATCTTCATTCAGGAGAATTGTGATGCCTCGTGGTGAAAGCCGAGATTCTTCGAAAGTCACGAGATTGATGTCCCTTCTAACAACTAACAACAAATATTTACCCAGTTCATACTAAATTAATTATTTCAATCATTGTAAAATAACAACTCTAAATCATTAACAGATAGTACAGTAATATTATAATCATATTATTAGTCTGTCTTCCTATACATCGGTTCATTATATTTCCAAAATAATATTTTTATCTATCACTACTTTTAAACTGTCATATAAACCTTGATGATACACTTTTTTTTATATTAAAGCCAACGCAAACAACCTCAGCTTCAAATGCTAATGGGAATTCAACGAATATTAAGTCGGAAAATCCTTCACATAGAAATAATTTTCTTACGAATACAAATGATACTCACTCATTATCTTTAGGACAAAACTCTGGTCAAATGGTTGTCTCCGGTTTGTCCAATGATGTTACAGGATCTTCAACCCAACCACAAACAGTAACTGTTGCTCTGGCATCTGCGGCCCTTGCCGGGGCAACATCCGTTAATTCAGCCATTCCATGTCAAACATTAGTCCAACAAAATCAACCTACAGCTGTTCATTTTACAACGATCTCTTCTGGGAATGGTTTAGCCATCGCCCAGTCTTCAGCTAATTCTGGGTCAACTGTAATAGCAGCTTCAGCACCTAATGCCACCACAGTCGCTACCACCGCAGCTCCTTTGCAATATGTTCTTCAACTACCGGTTGGCACAGCGGGAGCATCAGCTGGTCAGCCATTTCAAATACAAGTCCTTCCCCAACATTTCAGGCAAGTGGATCGAGTTTTATAGGTCCGATAACTATTTCCAAGTCAATTAAATAGCAATGCAATACTGAATGCAAATTTTTTGCTTATAAAATTCCAAAACTGAGGTTTGGAAACCAGCCTGTTTATATTTTCTCAAAAATTATGCATCATTAGAGATCAAAATAGCAGTCACATTATGCAAATCGTTTAAATTTTGTTTTATGTAGATATCATGTTAAACATGCTAAAAATGTTCTTTTGCAGTATACCACGCTCACGTATTAATGATTTCACTATTCCTAATAATTGGTATTATAAGCTTCATTAAAAGACCAATACCAATTTTACTAAATTTGTTGAAGTCACATTATAAATAGGAAACAGTTTAAAACGGGTTATTTGCTTTGAATTAAATAGTGAGATTATTCAACTGAATGCTCTTAACTCTTTATTATAATGAAGATCAATGTCTTTTAATAGATGTTCACATATAAATTTTTATTGAATGTGATTGGTGTGTAAAATAACACTTGTATGACTTCAACGACCACTCTATCGAAATACTTCATCATGATTCAGTTAATAGATATGCAATACGAAATGGCTGATTGCTCACAAAACTTAACTGTTTTACAGAATAGTGGGTGTGGCTAGTAGTAGAATCCAGGACGTGTATTTCGCTCTAATTATTACTCCCCAGCTGAATGTACCTGTAAAGCATTGACAACGGAATAATCGAAACCGTTACCAGTTAAACTAAAATTTATTCCCGTTGTACAAGCGAATGGCTATCTGAACTCAGTAGCTAAGTTGGCAACGCGTTGGTTTTCTAGGTGAAATGCATTGCGTTCAAATTTCGTAGTGATCGTCAGTTCTCGGATACAGGTACATTCAGCTGACAAACCCCAAATAGAACAAAATGAATTTTCTGTATCCCACTGCTATACACATTTAATATATTCGATAAGTACTTGTGAAACAATAGCTATACCAAGACAGTCGGCAGAGGATTCGCACATATGCCAGCTGAGATTTAAATCCAGTCAAAACACGGACAACGCGATAATCCAAACTATTACAAGTCAAATTAAAACTTAACCTTTGATTCGTTTTCTGATAAAATATCACAGACCCAGGTCAAAGATTTCGATAAATTTAATAAGATAATAATTAAACATTGAAGTATTGTTTGTGGTAACGAAATCCCCTTCAAAAATTAATATAACATCTGGAAGAATCTGTAGGCTTTGCTAGTAACCCCATTTCTCATGCAGTTCATGAAGTGACAAACTACTAATTTAAATGCCCACTCTTAAGATAATTCACTCTCTCAAAAAAAAACAATCAGTAAACCAGAATTGACACACGTCCAACTTACATAAATATTAAATCCCCAGTGTTTTAGTAACAAATAGTCATAGTTTGTGTAAAGGGCATGGTATCGAACTTTTAACTTATGATTATGCGATGCAGTTATTATGGTGTCGTCTGTGTAGCAGATAATTATACACAAGAATTCATTTATGCTGAACACCGAACACTTAGATATGATTGAATGGGAAATGACGGCGACAAAAAAAGAGATGAAGTGTCGTCATGTAGTAGTGGACTTTTTTGTTTAGTCAGAAAATAATTGTATTCAGAGATTTATAATTTAACTCACTGAAGTGTTCACCATAGAATGAAAGTTAGAGTTTATTCTGAAGACTAGTTTGGGATGTGTCATATTAATGCACAGTTGAGATTATAAAAGTAATCAAGAAAATGCTGATTGATTGGTGAGGGCCAACGTTACGATGTGCCCAACTGCAACTGCTTACGAATTGAATTAGTGAAATAAGCTCCTAAACGAACCAATATCAAAAATAAAACTACTGGACAGTGAAATGAAAGATAACCTTAGATACAAATTTAACATCTCTAGGTATCATAAGCGATTACAGGATATTAATTTTTCATATTGCTCACTCCTTAATAATAGCAATACTTAACTGCAAGGTTTTATCCATGCTTATCATACTAGAGTTAATAATGTACTTGAACTGGTCTTCATTGTAGACTGATTCGGTTTGTTAAAGAAGAATGACCACAAAAATTGACCTGAAAATCTTAAAATGACAACATGGTACTCGATTGTTGTTTCGTAATAGTGTATTTCAATGCTTAAATAAGAATGGGTAAACTGTAGATCATTGGTGTTTTTACTATTTTCAAAGCTGTACAGTATGGATACTAAAGATGGAAAAGTGATAAATTTTAAACTAAATCATAAATCTCATTTAGTTATACCATATTGTGCGATTAAATCACTGATTGGGTACCGTTAAATGTATTTATGAAGTTCTGGAACAGAGAAACAAGTCAGTTTCTAGGGCTTTTAAATTGTATTCATCGGTGGTTTAGACATATATTATACACGAAGCCATTAATGTGCAATAATATTTAGTTTATAGTTATATCAACGGTTTTTGATTAGCGCCCAAGCTATTTATTGTGTTATCGTTTACATTGTTTATACACGCTACAAACAATTCCAGTTGTAATAAACACTTGCTATGTTGTTATTATTTAAATATTTAACCAATATTTACAACAGACTGCTAACACTGACGCTGTATCTGCCGGTCAAGCTGGTGCTATCCTTGCCGATGGAAATACACTTCCTTTAGTTCAAGTTGTTTCTCAACCCGGTGGCATAGCAGTTCCAATCATTCAAGAGGCTGGTGGCAGTCGAACTCAAATTTTACAGCTTCAGGTAGACTGATTTTCTCTGTGTATATCACACTCACGTGTCCCAGTATTACAGTGTTCTTTGACATTTTTCCTAAATGTTCAAGTTATTAAATGTAAAATCTTCATATTACCATCATCTAGCAGCCATCATACTTCTATGTTGTATTTAAAGATATCTAAGTTTTCTCTTATTACACATTCAGTAGTTTTCTGTATTCTATGTATATATTGTATAGAGCAGTTATTAGCAACTCACCTAGCTGACAAGCCATCAGATAGCTTCTAATTCAAAATTATATCAGTAAAAATGTTCTAATACTAATATTCTAATATACTAAATCGATGACAGTCAATTATTGGTTAAGTCTAATGTATCTTTTAGTAAATAGCCTAACATGTGGTCATATCAACAGAGCTTAATGAATGTCACAATCTATCTATAATGAGTATGAATATCCTATCATGTACTATTCTTTTTTGAATACCATACCAAGCTTAAAAAACATTAGTTATTACTTTCATCTTCATTAGTAAACCAAATTTTTATACAGTGTATTGTAAATTCAAAAATAATAAGTTAACTTATGGGATCAATTGATATATCTTATATTTTGCAGGACCAATAAGCAAGCGATTGACACATTAATGCCTGTTGCTCTACAAGCTTCTAAGGAGGTAGTATTCACTCAAAAGAATAAGTCACCAAGCAGAATCTTTCTATGTGTTTTTGGCTGAAAACTCAGGTTTATATACATTAATTACAAGACTAAAAAATATAAAGCTACAATGTAATAAAAAACCGAATTAATGGAGGAATAATTTAATTAGTGATTATTTTGGGATCTTATACCACCAATTAATACATCAAATGAAAGCACATAAATAGGATAATGTGAACATACACTAATTCAAGTATTTGACATTTATACAGTAAAGTTATAAGTGATAATTCTCTGGCAGTTGAACCTTTCCCAAATCCACTTAGATTTTTGAAAGTTAGTAAAACATTGAATTGCACCTAACGTTTATTTATCTTAAATACTGGCAGCAGTACACATTTATCAAGTCAGTGTAATAAAATCCTCTAATTCCTTTCTGATAATAATAATAAAATGATGTACATTCTTTTGTTGTTGTTTTTTTCGTTCCACTTAGATGCCAGAATCAACTGCTGGTGTAAGTATCGCAAGTGGCTGTTAATCTGTCCGTATGAATCTCTAATATACACCTCTTTCTCTGTATGTGTTCGCTTGTTTGTTTGTATGCCTGATACATTAGTCATACAAAAAATGTTGTATACCGCCCCCCTCTCCATATTTCATGTTTGCGTTCATTTCATTTTTTACTCGTGTGAACATTTAATCATTCAGTTGTTGTTTCTTGACTAATTCATAAAGATTCTAATATGCTGCATGTTTATTTCCTTTTTCAAGATCTTCATTTTCTCTGTATCTCCCTACTTTCCTATTTATCTATCTATAATCCATGCATGTTCGGTATAAACATTATTATTATCATTTTTATATTGCTTAATTGTATCGTTTTATTAAAGTCATTGATTTTTATGATATTATCATTATTATTATCGTTGTTGTTCCTCTGTTAATTTCTCTCTGTGTCTCTTTCATATTTTATAAATGAGATTTCGTCTCTATATCAAACAATTTCCATGCATATTGTACAAAATATAAACTTGACTAGACGTTCTCTTTACTATATATATATATATATATATATATATATATATATATATATATATATATATATGGTTCTGTTTGTTTTGGAGCATTGACACGTATATTTCTCGCCTCTGGTAAAAACTCAACTCTAAACATTTCCTTAAATGCATGTCTAGAAAAACTTAAGAGATTCTATTCAACTGGATTATTTGTTGTACAGTAACAAAAAATCTATTGTTACCTTAACAATTTGCACATTAAATGTACACGGTAATATATATAAAATCTTAAAGTGTAAAAGCATTTTTTCTTCTCGACGCTTTTCTTTTATATCTATTTACACTATATCACAATGTGCATCGTTGTTTTGTGAACGTCCATCTAGTGTATTCATTGTGCGTAACACATTGGTTAAACTTAGATGCTTTTTCTTTCTTTTTTACTCTTGTTTACTAATCCTAGCAACGACCGACCTTGTTTCTACAGCAAGCCGGTGCTCTGCTAGGGACTCACATGGGTGCAGTAATTGCCAGTGTAGATGGTCATTCTCAACAAATTATGTACAGTTTACAAGCACAACCTCTGGTTTCTTCAAACTCTTCATCAAGAGCCCAAGTTCTTCTTTCATTGGATGAGGCATCTGAATGTATCTCATCTATTGCAGATTCAAACTGTATAACATCTAATAACAGTATTCATGCTGGTGCTGCTCAGTTATTAGACGAAGCAGCTAGTGAATTAGATATTGCATCATCTGTTGCTGTACCACATTCAGTAAGTACTGAAATACTTGGACCTAAAGATTACACTCCTCATTCTACGGAGCTTGATCACAAGCCGGTTATAAACTCCGGTAGTGTTATGATTACTGATGACCTTGTAGGTCTAACCGAAGGTCAAGCAGTCGAGATTCACACCGTAGAGTCAAATAACAGAGAGTGCTTGGAGTCTGGAGTTGACAGTAGTAATCCGCACCCAACCGTTATTACAGATGATGATGAAACCGTTTGAAACCAACACTTTGTCATATTCTTAATGTTGTCCAGTTTTTATTCTTTGCTTCAAAATACATGTATGTATATATGCATACCACTACAGAACAAATTTCGTCCTGTTAACGTAACTCGCCTATAACATGTTTTTCAACGTTTTATTTGCTCACAGCTATGCTATGTATTAAAAATGTGTGTTCATAAAGTGAAGACCGCTACATTCTGTGAATCGTGTGAATAACTATCCCGAACACGAAATATAATAATTCTATATATACCTTTCAGTCTAATTGTTTATGAGATTTTAATGTTCGCATATATTTAAAAAGGTTTACTCCAAAATATCTTGTTTGGTTTTATTTTCAAAACCTAGTATTTATGTTACTTCGTTTATTAAATTATTGTTTGCTTCTTGCGAACTAATTCAGCAACCTGTTAGACTAGTATTATGTTTCACATTCAGCAAACCGCCAATTGTCATAAGTCGTTTTACAGCAGGCTAATTTTATTTAACGATGTCCCAAAAAGGTAGTTCTGGCTAACCCGTTTGTACTTCGCTGATCTAGACAGTTTATTGGTGAAAACCGCAATGAATATGGTTAACTGCTGTTCCACGATCTGAGTCAATGTTGGGCTTGAGATCTAATGTCTATCAAAGAGAAACACGTAATGTAAGTTTCGTGTGATCACGTATTAATCCATGATACTGTACTTCACATTACAGCACCAAGGGAAGAGTATGATAACCAGGAACTAAGATGACGCCAGCTGAGTAAATTTGAAAAAACCATTGGAAAGCATAAATACGTCCAATACGCGGTTTTACAACTGATATACATGCATAATAATGATGTCACCTCATATAAGATTAGTATACCCTAAGAGTTATTTCAGAAGTTTAATAATCTATACCTGGTGTTTGTCATTTTCCGGGCTAGTAACAAAGCTTTACCGACCTCACTATTTAGCTGTAAGGAAGCTTAGTTTCAATCAATACTATGTATCCATAGAACAATCGGAACCTAAGATATAATTTATTCCTAATTACTAGTATTCCTCACCTTTTTGATCTTCTATAAGTCACATGTTTAGCCAGATCGAGTTTCCAGAAACAAAAAAGCTTTATTGACATCGTGTTAAGAATGATCATTAGAAGTATTGGTTTATAAGCTTAGTTTCCTATGGTGTATTGAATAGAAAGCTATTTCCCAGGGCCCTCGATATGCAATATCATTGAAATAAAGCAAGTCATATAACGTAGTTAATAAGTTCAGGACACTCATACATCAACTAACGTTTATGTGGTTTAATGTTTCAAATAAACCCACCGTTTGCAAACAACTTATTACCAAGCAATGGTCGGAAATGAAAAACCGTTGGCTCTTTCTTATCCTTATGTCTAACCAACTGGTTTGATTCTATACGATGCGAAGTCAGAAATATCTGCAACCCCCGATATTATTAAACAAAAACTGTAGTATGACACAACTTTTCTCCAGTCACAAACGAAGTAAAACCTGGTCAATATGTTTACTGATTCAAGTCGCCACAGCACGGAGATGAAGTTATCAAGACAAATTTCAGAGTAGTAGGGAGTACACGAAAAATAAAAAGCATATGACTCCGGGACTCAAATGTAAGGGCAGATGAGGAGTGGATGCATCTACTCCATTGGAAGTGACTAAGATCCACGTCATCCAACGTTCCCAACTATATAACGATATCAGCGCGGACCCCAAACCAGAGAACATGCATATACCTACGTGGCACAATCATTGATTTCACGGACTGATGCAATGCCTTGGTAGCTTGTACTTCTATTGTTCATACAGCTGCTCTACCATACCCTCGTCTTCATCAACAAACATTTGTTTGTAAACCACTGATGAAGACACTAATACGGCCCCCATAAAACTGTGGTGGTGCACACTGTATATGCTCAATTACACCACCCAAACTACATCCTGATACGTTTCAAAACCAAGCACAGTTAGCGACCAACCTTGGCAATGAGGCCTAATGGCTGTCCAACCTTACTCCCGGAAAATTTGTCTGGTTATACCACTTATCTGACTGTTAGAATAATCTTTTACGGCTCGATGTTCTTAGTACATCAACAGTTAGTATTTGCCGATTTAATAACCAGGACCGATGTTACGCAGCTTAGTAACTTCAGCGGTATGAATGTTTCCTAATAAAATTGGTCGCCAGTCTCGGGAAATTAAGTGCTACCAGAGCAAGTGTACCAACCCAAAAACACAATGATTTTTAAGTTCACTAATACAATTTGATCAAGTGCAGTAGCTAAATACATGTTTGTGCTGCATGCTTCACAATTTCTGAGCGCTTGTGATACTACTTAAGTGCCTAAACCGTGATAACTGGAGCAGGTATAAAAATTGGACCCATTGGTTGTAAATCACACAGAACTCCATTTTGTGACATAGACACTGAGAAAAACGAAACTCAAAATAGAGGAAACATCTACGCTAGAGTTTTTCTAACCGTTTACAACAGATAATTCCCACAGATATGATTAACATTCTATCATACTAAAAACGACATAGACTTCAGTCCGTTATATTTTTATGGGCCATATTTATGCCTCTCCAGGTCGTCTTTTACTGCATTTATTACATATCTAACATGTGACCAAATCCCGATTCAATATTATTGGTATTCGCCTTACATATCTGTACTTTCTTTTTAGTGATCAGTTTGTAGAGATAGTTATAACACACTGCTTGTTAACCGGCTATTTTAGTTCCTAATATTATGAGATTGAAGATATATTTTGAAGCAACACTAAATGTCGTACCATATATCCTGAGTCTTGCTGTCATTATGTTTAACAAATTAGATTAATATTACTAATGCTGAGAACTTCTTAACCTATGTAAAGCTTTCTACGAAAACTGTCACAGCCAGTTTTTAAATAAACGAGACTTCGAATAGTTACGAATAAAGTTAAATTGTTATGAAGTATTACAAAACATTTGAGTTACTTACTGTCCAACTGACTACACATCCTGGATGACAATATCAACAACGAACGTCAACCTCAGGAATCGGCAGTTAACCAGGGTGAAGGTTCCTTTTCTGTCCCAAAACAAACCTCACAATAAGCAGTAAATCTGACAAACCATGCAGGACTCATTTCCGCCATCATCAATTTCTGGGAATGTTACGAATTTTAGGACAAAGTAAATATTATTTCCATTGTTTTTTTCTTTCTCACGGATTTTAAGAGTCAATTACATTAGACTCTTTAGAGCATGAAGGTTGAGGAGATTTACGATGTAATATGTAGTTGTTCTGGCCAGACCACTAGTTACAAGAACAATCTCCCAAGATATTCAACACTGATGACTCGTTTGTTTGTGCAGAGATGGAATTCGTGGAGTCAAACGATGTCTAACTTGTCTACTCCTGTTCGAAGTGTGTGACCAAATAAACTTTTTAGCCGAACTACGAGTAACCTAAACCACAACTATGGCACACCATAGTACAAGTAAAAAACCGACTTTATAGGGACATATTTTCAGACAGCAATGAAGTCCTATACCACAAGAAATATTACTTCTGAATCAATCACCAGATAAACAAATTATCTGGTGAGAACAGAGTTTAACTTACTGTTACTAAGTCACACCCAACTCACCAGACTTATTAATTAGTGGAAAACAGTTCATACGTATGTCTGCATCTAGGTGGGTGCTATGGTTTTGTTTGTACTGGTAACCTGTTACTAAGTCAGTCAGCTACAACGTGGGACCAGGCATATATATGCATGGGTCCAGGTTGTCATACCTCATTAGCACAACAAGATGAACACCGGATTCATAGGAGTGGTTAGGTCAAAGGTGGTAATATATAGGAGAAAGATTGCATATAAGGATACAGTACAGGAAGAAAGAATTACTTAGTAGAAAGAAGGATATGAAGTGATTTTAATCTCTTAGTTTAAGGGAAGATAGGGAGTGTATGCACCGACGCCATTGTGATCGATTCTGAGCCATGTCACCAAGAGTCTCCAACCATCGGTTACGAAAGTCACGCGGACCCCAACCTGTTACTAAGCCATTAAGCATATGTGAATTTGTAAACGTATTTACTTATTATGATAACTGAAATCTTAGAAATCGAAGTTGTTTGTGTGAGTGACTGAATATTGAGTCTAATTCGGAAGTCCGCTTATGATTAGTTAAGAGTTACATTTACATGATGATACACCACACAAACCGTTAGATGTTTAGCTCGATATCAGAGGGTACTAAAATGTTTAAAAGACAGAGAGCAAGAATAGTTAGTTGTCTTATTTACATCTGTTCTAAATTATCCGAACACAGAGCAAATATTTGGACTACGGAGAAAAGTGTTACTTAAATTCCAGTAATTTCACGAGTAGGTAGACATTATGGAAAAGTAAAAATAATCGTCTTCTTTATAGCTCCAGAAAACCTAAGGTGTAGCCGTAGTTTAAAATTCTCCGGTATTCTATGGCGGACATGATTCTAGAGTCAAGTAGACAGGATGTGGAAATGCAAACTCCTTCTTACGAAATTTTCGGTATACATAACTATGGTTGCGAAACATCCCTAAGCTAGTTCTTTAGGTCGGAAAAAAATCTTAAGGACCTTATGCCTTCGCGTTTCAAAAAGCCAGACCACATTTCCAATAAATGTAGTATTATCAAGATAATGATCATACTAAGTCACTACCTTGGGTAGAAACATGAATGACGCAACCAAATAAATTGCTCCAATACGTAGCAACCATCTATTTGTACTTGACTAAGCCTGTATCTGATCATTTTTTAAATACGACCAACCATTCTCTTTTTATCCTACCAGAAGATAATAACTAATATGAAGTGGATTCGCACTTCAGAATAAAGAGCGAGTAGGTATAGCAAGAAAATAATAGATAGCACTAGCTTTTTATTCCAATCATAAGTGATGTTTAAAACTAAACGGTACTAATTTACAAACTAATGTTTCTCATGATGATAAAGATGAT